ACCAGTTAGAAGACAAAGGCTACTAAAACAAATAATGGTAAATGATGAAAGGTATGTAAGATCTACAAATATTAGATTATAAAATTCTTGACCGAAGTGCATTTGTCTAATCTGTACTCTGGTCCTCTAATAATGGACTCAAAGAACATAAAAAAGTATTCATACAGAAACAGTCATGAGTTTCACTGAACTATAGGCAAAGCGTACATAAAATCAGTAGCTTCTGACAACTCTTAAAGTCTTGGCAAATATTTTAGAAATCACTTTGATAAAGTATTCCTAAATGCCTGTAAGTACAACCTAATCATTATTGTTATTAAATATATAACCACTATTCTCTTTTTTATATTCATTTGCCCCAAACTAGTACTCAAATGGTATTTTTTCCTTTTTATATATTTGTTAGCAACAATAAAAACGCATTGTTAAAATATGTATTTTACAGGCAAAATTAATTTATGGTGGTAGAAGTCAAAATAGTGCTATGGGATAGATGAGTATCAATGGGGAAGGAATAGAAGAGAACTTTCTGACAAGGTGGGAATGTTTACCTCTTGATCTATTGATGGTTATACAGGTTTTATATGTATATAAAAATTCATCCAGCTTTCCTTTAACATTTGCGTATTTTATTATGTGTAAAATATGTCTTTATTTAAAATATTTTTAAAATATGCATTTTACTTAGGTGAAATTCTACATTTTGATGCCTTTGGCTTCAAAGAATTATTTCATTTATAACAATATCAACAGTATTTTCTTCATGAGTGGTCAAAAACTGTAATGAAATTCTCATCATATTCCACATAATAAATTAGTTCATGAAGTCCGATATCATCTCTGGAAATTAATGCCCTTTTAAGATCAATTTTTTTTAATGGAAAATTAGTGAAATTCTGCTACTCCAGCTAATTTTGCTGCAGTTTTGTGGCAGTGTAAGTATGTCTTTGTCTGTAGTCCAACTACCACAAAATCCTATATCCCTGAGATTATAATTTGTGGCTATGATTATATCACTGGTTTTAATATAACTCTTTCACTATATTTAAAATTTGAGAATAAATATAAAATTAGAAGGAAAAAATAATATATGGTATAGCCAAATCTCTGAACACAAAATTCAGGATTAGGATCAACTCAAAATACTTTCTTTTCTTTTCCTTTTTTCTAGTTTATTTATTTTGAGAGAGAGGTAGTGCAAGTGGGGAAGGGGCAGAGAGGAGAGAGAAGGAAACCCAGACAGGCTCCATACTCACTGGAGAGCCTAACGTGGGTTTCGTCCCGAACTGTGACCAGAGCCAAAAATCAAAAGTCAGATGCTTAACCGACTGAGCCAATAGGGTGCCCCAACTCAAAATATTTTCTTATATTTTTCATTTCTTTTAGATACTCCTATGACCATCTCACTTTGTCCACTGCTCAAAACACAAAGCCTATTTAGGACATTAATCCCTTCACATACAATTACAAATCCTAAAACTTGGAGGCAGGCAAAAGCTGTGTTTACACATATATTTGATATTTGATATTTGAGGAAATATATTTTCTTTTTAAATCTTCAAAGATGAGAATTTTAAACAACAAATGTTCAAATCAACCAACAGATGCCAAAAACAATTGAATGAAATAGTGGCAATTTTCCTAGTGACTAAAACCAAATATTTAATATATTTTACCAGCATTTCTCAAAATAAATTCTATGAAGTCTTAATAAATCACATTCAAAATAAGGTTTCATGTGTAAGTAGGTTCAGGGAATATTTTGTAAAGAAACTTAAATAGGTTAGTTATTGCAATACCTCCCAGAGCCTATAACCCACTCCTGTGCTTTGCCATCCTTTAAGAGCAGGCTATATAGTTAGTATGTCCACACTCTTTTACAGAGACTCGTAAGGTCAGTGCTCCAAGAAGTGCATATTCAGGAAATATGTAAATACAAATAGTTCACTAACAGAGTTTTAAAGTGATTTTTTTTTTCAACAGATTTTTTTGTATACACATACCTAGTCAAACCGGTAACATCTCTAATTGTAATTAAGATAATATAAAAAAAATTACCACTTGAGTTCTATTTCATCATCTCTCAATCATATCATGGGTAGCATAGCACCTGACAATTTAGACTAATTTAAAAATATATATGGAATATTAGTTAAGGTGGTATCAAACATGAATAAACATTACACCACTTGTTTTAAAAGATCTAACTGGTATCTGGTGAGGTGATACAAAAATATCTGGGTCCCCACATCTTGGTTTGTTACTAGTATCAAGATTGACCTTATGGATAATGAATTTTCTCTAAGGTAGGAGATACCATAATGGCTCTTTAGCCCCTCATGTTCCCTAGGGTAGCTGTTAGCACTATCTTCATAAATTCCTTATTTACTTTTTAAGGCATATCTTGAAATCCTCTAATAAAGAGAAGTCCCTCCCTGAGGGTTAGTTTTTGCTCAGCAGATTTATCAAGTATTTTCTAAGTGAGACGTAGCAGGAAGCTTACCCTGAGAGAACAGAGAAGCAATACACTTTAGTTTGGAGGAGAGAGCAAAGATTTATGCCCAGTGTGGATTTCCCCTAGGACACAGCAGTTCAGGTTGGGAAGGCAGTGAAATATCTATGTCTGAGTGAGTTACCCCAGAGTTATAAGAATTTCTCTTTTAGCTTCTCATGTCACCCAAAAGTCTGAAAGTGATTCAGTCTGTTAAGGTCAGCCTCCCGTGAGACAAAGGAGGTTAGAGAAGAGGGAGTGAGAAGGTAGGAGCAAATGAAGTATAACCATTACATCATCAAGGCCAACTGGATAGTGATAGATGCCCCTATTTAAAAATTTCTTCTCCCTAATTTGTGTTGCCAAATGTTTACTTATTATGCAAAATAGAATACATCTGGTATCTTCAACCTGGTTAGACCTAAGCCAACCAAATGCAGCCCACTGCTGCTTGCTTTTGTAAATAAAATTTTATTGAAATCCAGCCATGCCTATCAAGTCTAGAAAGGCAAAGTTGAATAATTTCAAGAGTGACCATGTGACTTACAAAGCCTAAAATATTTACTATCTGGTTTTTAACAGAAAAGCTTTGTCAACCCCTGGTTTTAATAGTGTTTCTTTTCCTTTCCATTCTAATTTTCTAAAATATTTTCAAAGTGACTTGAAGTTTATATTTTTGGAATCATATTTTCCCTGTGAAAAGATTCAGGTTATTTTACATTAAAAGCAATTTACAGCTAAGTCAATGTAATAGCTAGGCTAGCACATGCAGCTGAAAAGTGAGAAAATAAAATGGTTGTTTTGAAAACATCCTTTTTTAAGATCACAAACATCTGGATATTTCCCAAGACATCTGGAACATCAACTGATTGACTTGTTTATATTTAGCCATGTGCATTTTGTAAACACTTGAGGTAAAAACTAAACATTAGAAGTAAAAATAATAATTTCATGTAACATTTTTCTTCAAAATACTTCTAATTTTAAACGTCAGTTTTCTTGCCCATTTAAAATTCACCAAAAAGTGAATGAAGTCTATAATTTTATCAGACATTTTGGAGAATTTAAAGAACATGATATTGGTTTCTTTCATTCTTTATTTAGTTATGCAATTTCTTTATTCTCATTGTCTGAATGATCAAAGATAATATCATTAAGATTGTTAAAGGCCTCAAAACTCAGAGTAAGCAATGTATTTTTCAGTTATTATATAGTAGAGAATCAGCAAAATAGTAGGAAGAGTGTCCCATCTCTGAGCAACTGAATTGAAATTAAACATGTTTCTTGGTCTCTTAGTGTCAGCTCTCTTAATGTTTGGAATGACCTTTGGTTAGAGCCAAAAAGATTCTCATGAAAGGATATGGGGCATTGGAGCCAGACTAGGGTTTGACTGCTGGCCCAATTACTTTCTAGCCTATTTTGGCCCAAGTTTCTTCTCAATATAATGAGGATGATATTTTTATTGGAAATGCAGTACATATGGAGCCTGAAAAAAGAGTAATAATAATAATAAGACAATGGCTCCTATTTATTGACTCACTTACTGTGTACCAGCCACTAAGCTCAGTGTATTATATATACCTTGCATCATTTAATCTTCACAAAGCCTTAAAGGTAGTTAGCTGTTATTACGTCTAATTCAGAGATAAGTTCACTGAAGTGTTTACTTCCAGTTTACAAATTCTACCCTTAGAAGAGCAGCTACCATTCATCTAGTGCCTACTACATGCTGGAGACTTCACATATATTTTCTCAATTAGTATACAGTGCTAACAGGTAGCTATTTTTATTATCTTGTTTTCTAAGGTTTAGAGAGGTTAGTTTTGCCACAGCTACACACCTATTAGGCAGAGCTGTGGTCAAAACACAGGAAGAAAAACTTCCCAAGAACTGTGCCTTTAACCTTAACTATACTACCTCAGTAAAGAATAGCTATTGTTGTTGTTGTTACCACCAACATAGGTATATTGTTTAAAAAAAAAACCATAAAACCAATAAACTAAAAAAATACATCTATGCATATATATGTATGAAACTTGACAAACACAGTTAGGGAATCAAATAGTTCTATGTATAATTTTTCAAATTGAGAGTATACACCTTTGCACTGAATTGCAAAATAAATATGAGGATTACTGAACTTATAGAGCTAAGTACTTCCCACCTGGATTTACTCGCCCAAGAGAGTTTTTCTAAAAACAAAATTTGAAATTTTCTATTTCAAAATTATGTAATGCCTACATCAGATATCTTAAATAGTGTGGTTGCTGAAAATTTGCACAGCCTATGATTATGTCATCTCAAGCTCTGAAAAAGGTGCAGTAATGTTTATGAAAGAGCAGGATGCCAGATATACCCCATGTCAGAAAAATCTATTTGAGTTCTAATGCTCTTGTACCCTCATGCAGATTGTCACCCAGAGCAATATGCAGAAAATATACAGCTTGCCTGATTGTACCCTTACTAAAATAGTCTCAGAATTATGAAATAGATGAATTAAAATTTCTACCTGAATAGACCTTTTCCTCTTCTGAGTTTCCTCTTCTGAGTTTCTTTATCCATCGTTAGGTTTAGGGTTGGTTGCTAAAATGTCTAGAAAGAAATGGTATATAACCAGAAAAATTGCTGCAAAAGTTTGATTTTTGTTACAACATTTGGGCAAGTTTTGAAGAAGAGGTCTTCAAACAATAAAGGAAATTGTTGACAGAAAATCAAGTTTTTTTGACCATTTAATTCTCAGCAAGCCACTTCAAGCAAATTCTGCAGGAAGCATGGAATTGGTCCATAATAATTAGCATATTGAGAAAGGAAATGTTAGAAATGTGAATAGTTTTTCCTGTTTTGCCTTTTCACCATTCCATTCCTTCCACCCTTATAATGAACCATAGTTTATACTTCTTTGGGTCACCCACCTATTGAAGAATTTCTGAACACATGAGTAGTCCACCCATTGGTGGAAGGGTGTTTATCTGCATTTGCAAAAGGTGGGATCTTCTATGGATCCTTTAAGAAAAAGGTAATGTCTTTGAGACTTCTGTTTGAATGACCAATTATTCAACTGATTTATTTCAATTATTCTGTTTTTCCATCATTAAAGTAAAGTTTTATTCACTATCACCACATAATCTTAGTTTTAGCTGGTCAGTATGATAAGAGAAGAAAATAGATAGGAAGAAACAAAGGTCCATGGTCTGAAGCATTCCTGTCTTTCTCACGCTTTATAGGAGTATGAAGAGAATGCAAAATATAGTCCCTGAGTCAGAAGTTATGTTGAAAGTGTACTTTATAGGTCCTAGAAACACTTTGGATCTTCTTTTTATACTCTAGGGTATAAGAGTTGGTAGTTCAAAAACAGTTACTGAAGAATCTAAATTCTAAGTTCATTTGGAAAATCTATAATGCATAAGAACTCACCTCATTTTTATGATTGCTCTATTAATAGCTTAAAAAGACAAAATTAAATTCATTTGTAAGGATAATAGACTGTTTTTATGGTAGCTTTGTAAGGCTGAAGATAGAGGATTAAATTACCACTTCAACAGTGAATTCTTTTAAATATTTTAACATACTGAATTTTACAAGAGAACAACCTTAACTGTTCCTTCATTAGTAGTCAGTAGGGTCGCCACATAAAATATAGGATGCCCACTAAATTTCAATTTCAGGCAAATAATTAATACATTTTTTAGTATGTATAGGCTCCCTGAAATATTTGGGATATACACTACTTAAAAAAAGATCCTTCTTTATCTAAATTTCAAGTGTAACTAGGAATCCTATATGTTTATTTGCTAAATCTAGCAACCTTATTGGTAGACCAAACCCTCTGAAAGGTTTTCAAATGGTGTTCAGTTCAACTGGCTATCAGCATCCTTTACATTCACCCATTCATTCATTAGTTCACTAATTAATTACTTGAACAAATATTGGAATACCTTGTTTACTGTTGTCAGTATCAGGAATAGTTTTACAAAGCCTCCTGCCTCATGAATCAGTGGTTCTCAATCTTTGTTGTCCATTATAATCAGCTGGGGAAATTTTTTTTAATATTAATGAAGTCCTAGATACAATCCTCAAGATTCTAAATTACTTATTCTGGCATCTGGCCTGATTATCAGACTTTTACAACCTCCCCAGGTGATTCTAATGTATGACCAAGGTAGAAAACCACTGCTGTGGATGAAGACAAATTATATATTCTTCATCCTTTTTTTTTCCTTTATAATGCCTGCATCTGACACTAGGCATGCCTATTAATGGTTGAGTCACTCAGCAGATTAACTCTTCAGAAAAGCAAATTGCAAACAATTTTAACTGAGATTTTTCCAAAGCAATGTAACTCTTTAGTAAGCTAGCATTATACCTTTTTAAATTAAACTATTTTGCCTCAATTTTAGAATAATGAATATTTAAATAAATGCATTCATCCATTCATTCAAAAATACTTAAATTTCTGTCTAAGCAATGGGCACTGCACCAGGCACTAGAGATGGAGCCATGAAAAAGGCAAAACTCCTATTTATGTGAGGGGGACAATTAGTGTGAAAGCAAAATTTAAACAATTCCTATGAAGAAAATGAATCAAGGAGTCAAAGGAATTAAGTAGTGGGGAGGGATACATTTTAGAGAGATCAGAAAAAGTTTCTCAAGGAACATCTGACCAGACACCTAAATGATGTGAGGACTGAAAGGTAAAAGAAATAACAAGGAGATCCGAACAAGTTTGGTTTGTTCACAGGAAGAGCTGAAAGGACAGTGTGACTACAGCAGTGGTAGGGGGAGAGTGGTACAAGATGAGGTCATACAGAAGTGTACGTAGCTCCTTAAACCAAGACAAGGACATTGGGCAATATTCTGAGCTGTAGAGTAAGAGATATGGTTTAATTTATGTTGTAACAATATCACCTTGGCTTCCTTATGGAGACAGGCTGGTAGGGTAATGGTCTCATAAAAGAGGCAGATTACTGTAGTAGTTAGGGTGAGAGATGATGGTGATTTGGACTCGGGCAGTAGCAGTAGAGCTTTCAAGAAATGGTTGGGATATAATTTGAAAGTAAATCCAACAGTTGTTGCAGATAGGTTGAAAATAGGGTGTGAAGGAAAGAGGAAATAAGAATTCTTGGAATTTAACTTCTACTAAGATGGGGATAAAGAGCTGACACAAGAGTTCTGGAAGGACTAGGTTAAGTTTGAGGTGTATAATGGTCATCCCAGTGGATAGGGTCATTATGGCTGATATGTATATCTGGAGCTCAGAGAAGCAATCAGAGCTGCAGATATAAATTTAGATCATCATCTATACATAAGGGTGTATTTTTTTCCCTCTATTAAGTTTAAAACACTGGACTGTTTTTAAACAAAGTGAAGCAGTCATTTCCTTTCAAAGTGAATTACTTCCTTTGCGAGTTATACCTATGACCTAAACACTGGCACTGATGAGTTATAATCCTTTACTACAGAAAACATATATAAAAGGAAATATTGTCCCTACAACTTTTTAAATGTCCTTAGAATTGATACATGAAATTATTGTGAAAATTATTTTGGATGATGGATGAGGTCTTTTTAGGCTATGGCTAAAAAAACCTCTCATGATCAAGAAATAATAATTTTCAGGGCTCCTGGGTGGCTCAGTCAGTTAAGTGTATGACTCTTGATTTTGCTTCAGGTCACAATCTCACAGTAATGAGATTGAGCCCTATGTAGGGCTCCATACTGAATGTGGAGCCTGCTTGGGATTCTCTCTGTCTCTCTCTGCTCCCCCCAACTTGTGTACAGAGCTCTCTCTCAAAATAAATAAATAAACATTTTTTAGAAAGAAATGATCATTTTCAGCTCTACCTGCTTTTTTATTCTTAAAATTATTTTATCGGACGTTGTCAAGGATGTGGAGAAAAGGGAACACTTTTGCACTGTTGGTGGGAATGCAAACTGGTGCAGCCACTCTGGAAAACAGTAAGGAAGTTCCTCAAAAAATCAAAAATAGAACTACCCTATGACCCAGCAATCACACCTAGGTATTTATCCAAAGGATAAAAAAATTGATTCAAAGGGGTACATGCACCCCAATGATTATACCTGTTATATACACACACACACACACACACACACACACACAATGGGATTATTACTTGGTAATGAGAAAGAATGAAATCTTGCCATTTGCAACATAAAAAATGAAACTAGAGTACATTATGCTAAGCAAAATAAGTCTGTCAGAGAAACAGAAATATTATATGATTTCACTAATATGTGGAATTTTAGAAACAAAAAAGATAAACATAAGGGGAGAGAAGGAACAATAAGATAAAAACAGAAGGAGGCAGGGGCACCTGGATGGCTCAGTTGGTTAAACATCCGACTTCAGCTAAGGTCATGACCTTGAGTCCAGGCCTCAAGTCAGGCTCTGTGCTGACAGCTTGGGGCCTGGGGCCTGCTTTAGATTCTATGTCTCCCTCTCTCTCTCTCTGCCCCTTCCTCACTAGCTCTGTCTCTCTCTCTCTCTCAAAAATAAATAAACATTAAAAAATTTAAAAAAGAAACAGAGAGGGAGGCAAACCATAAGAGACTCTTAAATACAGAGAACAAACTGAAAGTTGTGGAGGGATGTTGGGTAGTAGAATGGGCTAAATGGGTGATGGACATTAAGGAGGGCACTTGTTGGAATGAGCACTGGAATGAGCATATATAAGTGATGAATCACTGAATTCTACTCTTGAAATAATTATCACACTATATGTTAACTGACTTGGATTTAAATAAAATTTAAAATTAAAGAATAATTTACATGTAAGCAATATATCATTATGCATTTATATTAGTAATTATTTACTGCTGAAAGTTTATTTTTTAAGAGTGAATTTTAACCAATCAGCAAAGCACTATTATCAGTCAGCCTTTGGAGTACAGAAAAGAGTTGTATTTAATAGTAATAGGATTCATTCCCATTTCTCCATTTCTATCCCTTGATTCCTGGACCTGTGACTCATGGTTATGGGAGAAACAAACTATATATTGGATGCTAATTTAAACATAAATAGCCTCCCGGATAATATGGGAGTGGCATCACTCTGTTACTCCTAGTGTTCACCAGCAATTTTTTTTTTTTTTTTTTTGCCTCCTGTACCCACAATCTTACACTCTGCTGGTCCAGATGTTTGAGATTCAAAAGGAAGAATACTTCCAGGAGGAGACACAGGGAGAATACCATGTGAAGACAGAGTAATGCATCTACAAGCCAAAGAATGCCACAATTTGTTGGCAAACTACCAAAAGCTAGAATGATGTAATAGGGAGGATTCCCTGATAGGCCTCAGAAAAGCACAGGCCTGTAGACACCTGATTTTAGACTTTTAGCCTCCAGAACCATGAGACAATGGATTTTGGCATTCTTTTTTAAAGCCACCCAGCTTGAGAAAAGTAATACAACCACTATTTTAATAAATCCTCTGCATTTAACAAGGCACAGTACTTGTTTAGGGATTTACTATTTCCCAGGAACTATTAGTTAATGGACTGTGTCTCCTGTTTTTCAGAGGCAGTTAAAGAGAAACAAAAAGAAAAATTGAATCATGTAGCACAATCTTTAAGTG